CCTGACTCCTCCCTCTCTCTAGGTGTGGTCCTTCCTTCCTCCCTCCCACAGATCCCTTTAGCCACCCTTTGCTGCCTACCAACCCTCATCCTACACCTCCTCTAAGGAGTCTTCTAGGGTGATGATAGGAGTAAAGTTCTGTATCCTCCCTGCAATACTACTGGTCGGCAGCCCCCTTTCTCCCAGGACCTGTCTGGAACTCAGTCTCTGGTCCCCTAGAGATGGGAGAGTCAGGGCCAATTCCGGGACTGTGCTGTGCTGGCACCGTTGGCCTGGCAGGCAGAAGGAAGGATGAGCTGGAAAAGCCAGACGAGGCCCATGTGGGTTTCCCAAAGCTCAGCCCAGCTCATGTTGACGATGGGTGTATTCGGCCAAACAGCAGCCCAAGATGCAGCAAAGGTACAGAGGCAGAGTTGCTGAGTTAGATTTCTGAGAAATTTGATACATTCTGAAAAGCTGTGCCAAATGATATGTTTTCTGAACTATTGTATTGATTAGAGAACTATGTTCTCTTCCCTCTCCAAGTAGATTTAAAAGTATTTGAATCCAAGCATAGTACCCTTAGGTTCCCCGAATAGGGTCTAATACATCCTAAGTGCTCTTTAGAACTGCTTACACGACTGGGGAGCCTGGGTGGCTCAGTGGTTAAGCGTCTGACTTCAGCTCAGGTCATGATCTCATGGTTTGTGAGTTTGAGCCCTGCGTCGGGCTCTGTGCTGACACCTCGGAGCCTGGAGCCTGTATGTGTGTCTCTCTCTCTGCCCCTCCCCTGCTTGCTGTCTCTCAAAAATAAATAAACATTAAAAAAAAAAAAAAGAACAGAACTGCTTACATGACTGATGAAATAATAAAAACACAACAACAGCAGCAGCAAATGTTTACTGAGAATTTGGGGTGCACCAGGCGCTGGAGAAAATGCAGTATGTTCCTTATCTCACTGCAACTTTACAACCAGTCTTGTAAAGTAAGTACTGTCTTTATTCACATTTTACAGATGAAGAAACGGAGGCTCAGAGAAGTTATGACATCAGGTTGGATGGAGAGCCATGGGAGTGTAGAGAGAGGCAGAAGGGACCTAGACTAGGAGCTCCGTTGAGGTTCAGGTAAGAAAAGGGCCCATGAGAGGGTCAAGAGAGTTGATTCCGGGATGGGGAGGAGATACAATCAGAGGAAGCAGTCAGTGATGTGGTGTGAAAAGGACACCCACTCCTGTCCCCACACACCTAAAAATATCCCCCAAGGGTCAAGCGCAGTTCTCTCCCTCTTTCGCTCTCCTCCTAAAGTACAACTCTTGGGACAGGACAGTGTAGTCTCGGACACTCGGTTGCCTTCTGAGGTGGAGGCAAGGGCACAGCAAGGAAAACAAAGGCATTGACCTGGAGAGGGTCACTTGCCTTGGTTCCACCCTGACAAAGCCAAGAGACAGGGCTGACTCAGCTTCCTCAGCAGTTGCCACAGGAATGCTCCCTGGGTCATTCCTCTCTAGCCTGGTGAGAGGCCTTGAGCTTAATTGCCCAAAGCCCTGAACTTTAGACTTCCTTAGAGCAGATAGCAGGGCATTGAAGATGTTCTCTGAAATTTCTTCAGGACAGAATGGTGGGAGGGGGAGGCAGGGG